ATCGTTTTCATCATCATCAAATTTTTTCTATAACTTGTCGTTTAGCTCATATACTTCCATTAAATAATGACAATGATCAATTAACATGGCCAGACGATGCAACAAATCAATTTTTAGCTGTTCTCAAGCAAGTTATACCTGAAATAGAATTATTATCATTTACTACCAATGGTTGTTTTCAAACAAATTTATTTGTTATGAATTCTGGTCAACATGTTTGTGTGAATGATTATATGATACATATAAAAATGGCTAAACCTATTCTAAATACAACAAATATTAATGACGATAGACAAAACTGTATTCAAGTAAGAGAGAATATTTTCATCCGAATTAATTTTGTCTGATAAAAACAACTATATTTGCTGTTCACATATATAACTCTGTTGTAATCTAATCTATGGCGTGAGATATCTTATCACAACATGTTCACTCACGTTTTGGCTATTTAAAGATACATGGTTATAGACAGAAGCAATTTGTTAGAATTAGACTTTTCTTTTTGGGATAATCTTTGATAACCATCATCAGACTATTTTCAAAATAGTGTTTTTACAGAATAATATTTTGTATTTCGATTGAAACCTATTAAATTCAGAATGCGAAACAGAAAACGGTTTTATGTTTAAAAACACAATTGTCGATTTCCATAGAAATTAATTCTTTAATAGAAAGATATTTCGCTTATTGTAATATCCCATCTTGTATAAAAATTCAATGCTCTACAATAATGTTGAATTGAAGCTGTTCCAAAACACAAACTACATAAACTGAGAGCTGCATCTTTGCTTTATACAGACATAATTTTGAACTTTTTCATAAAACTTATTGATAGTTGTTCAATTTTATCTCCAAAGGAAAATCCGAACATACATTCTGAAAGAGTTAAATTCTATATAAGATAGTTTTTAATAGTAAAGAATTGATGTCTTATCAGAAATGAAATCATAAAAACAACTCATCGTACTCGTATGTAATTGAATATTCAAGAAAGACAAAATTAAATGAATCGTAGTGTAACAACAAAATGTTTCGAAGTTCGAAATAATGATTAAAATAACTATTCTTCATTTCTATGCTGTCCAAAATATTTACTACATTCGTATAACCAGTGACGTATTCAGGATTTTTCAGTATGCT